CAAATGGCTATGAGAAGTGAAAGATCATTTACTTGTCATTTGTATGCTTCATTCAGGCTTTGATAGCTAAAGAAACACCAATATCCGTCACTCGCGTTGCATGGAGTCCAGATGGAAAGTTCATTGGTAAGTTTCTCATAATGCATTGTAGGGTTTTAAATGGTCTCTGGTCTAAGTCTCTTCTTGTGCAGGGGTTGCGTATACGAAACATCTTATTCACTTGTATACTTTCGCTGGACCTAATGATCTTCGCCAGCATAGTGAGGTGAGCTTACGTTGTATCTCGTACGAGAAACAATGCCAAGTAATAATATCCCCTAACATTAGAGACCTTTGTCCACACAGATTGAGGCCCATGTTGGAGCTGTGAACGACTTGGCTTTCGCTAATCCACACGAACAACGATGTGTAGTTACTTGTGGAGATGATAAGCTAGTCAAGGTGAGAAATAGAATCACATGGTTTCTCTGTTAGACATATCTCTGCATCTTGTCTAACTTGATCGATGTGGAACAGGTATGGGACGTTTCAGGTCGGAAGCATTTTACCTTTGAAGGTCACGATGCTCCTGTTTATTCCATTTGCCCTCACCACAAAGAGAACATTCAGGTTTGTCAAGGAATGAAGCCAACTATCATCTGTTTGAAGAACAATAAAAGTAGATGACATATTTTATTGGATCCCTTCTTTTTGGATTTCAGTTCATATTCTCTACGGCTATAGATGGGAAGATAAAGGCATGGCTTTATGATAATATGGGTTCCAGAGTTGACTACGATGCTCCTGGTAAATGGTGTACTACGATGCTTTACAGTGCTGATGGGACTAGGTACGATGATTTCCATATTTTAATACATTTCTCATTGCTCTGTTTCAGCTCTTTCTGAAGTTATGTAACTGTCACTTTCTTCAGATTGTTTTCTTGTGGAACGAGTAAAGATGGAGATTCTTTCCTAGTTGAGTGGAATGAAAGTGAAGGATCAATAAAAAGGACCTATCATGGGTTTCTGAAGAAGTTGCCAGGTGTGGTTCAGTTCGATACCTCAAAGAACCACTTTCTTGCTGTTGGTGAAGATGGGCAAATCAAGTTCTGGGATATGAACAACATCAATGTTCTGACTAGCACTGATGCTGAGGGTGGACTTCCGGTTAGTCTCATAGATTCTTTTTCCCATTGGCTTGTCTTCTATTCAGGTTTGGAAGCTAACTTGTCTCTCAACTTCAGGCTCTTCCTCGTTTGAGATTTAACAGGGAAGGCAATCTTCTAGCAGTTACTACTGCAGATAACGGATTTAAGATCCTGGCGAACCCAGCTGGTTTCCGATCTCTGAGAGCCATGGAATCTTCAGCTTTTGATTCTATGAGGACTCCAGTCGATTCTTCTGTAAACAAAGCTGTAACGTTTCTCAACTTTGTAGTATATTTTTTCCTTTCTTTACATCCAATTGTCGTAGCAAGCTGTCTCGGTTTACATATTTTGGTATTCTGTTAGGTTCCTGGTGCTCCCGTTGCATCTGTCAGCTCTAAAGTTGAACGAGGCTCTCCTGTTAGAATCTCAACAATGCTGGTAAATCACACATTTAACGTTCTGTTTCTACTTTCCTCATTCTCTGGCTATAGCAGTTGTCTGTTTCAAGTTCTCTTGTCATGTTTTAAGAGTATTTACTAACCTTTTTTCTTGTTCCTCAAGAATGGAGTTGATCCCTCAAAGTCAAGAATCGATGAGTCAACAGAGAAGCAATTAGCTGAAATCTTGGACCCTGCACAGTGCCGCCAGACTACTTTACCCGAAACCGCTGGTTCTTCCACAAAGGTTTGCTCAATTAACTTTCTCAGGAAGAAGTTTTATTTTTCCAAAGTTCAAAAAGAATTAAAAGGCTTACGTTTCTCTCTGTTGCATGGCAAAGCAGGTCGTTCGACTTTTGTATACAAATTCCGGCGGTGGAATCTTGGCACTAGGTTCTAATGGTAACCAGAGACTCTGGAAGTGGATTCGCAATGAGCAGAACCCTAGCGGAAAGGTAAGCATAAAACAGCGTTAGAGAGAGAGCTCAATGCATGTTGTTTGCGGTTATATTAAAGTTCCGTTTTGTCATACAGGCAACTGCTACTGTTGTTCCTCAGCATTGGCAACCAAACAGTGGTCTTCTCATGACCAACGATGTTTCTGGTGTAAACCTTGAAGAGGCTGCTCCATGCATAGCTCTCTCTAAGAACGACTCTTATGTCATGTCGGCTGCTGGAGGCAAAGTCTCGTTGTTCAACATGATGACTTTTAAGGTATATTTATCTTACAAGTACACATGAACTTTAAAAGGCCGTTAAAGCCTCATGCTCTAGCTGCAAATGTTCTCACACTAATCCTAGAAACTCTTTTGATATCTAAAGAAACCTATTGGCCTTATAGGTGATGACAACATTCATGCAACCTCCACCGGCTTCAACATTTTTGGCGTTCCATCCTCAGGACAACAACATCATTGCTATTGGAATGGAGGACTCCACCATTCACATCTACAATGTCCGAGTCGATGAGGTAAATAGTCGCTAGTACCAACCAATACCACTTAAGTAGTCTCATAGCTTTCACATATGTTTTACATTTTAATACGAGCTCACTCCACTTGTATCTTGTGTTCCATCAGGTCAAATCGAAGCTGAAGGGTCACCAGAAACGCATCACTGGATTAGCATTTTCTACAACTCTCAACATCTTGGTTTCATCTGGTGCTGATGCACAGGTGTGTTATGTTGCGTCATGTTGTTGTCCTGTAGTAAAATATCTCAACTTCAGGGGAAAATGGCTTGGTGGTTTTGTGCCTTTTGATGCTAAAACTCTTCCTGTTGTCTTCTCTTAGATATGCTTTTGGAGCATTGACACATGGGAGAAGAGGAAATCGGTTGCAATACAAATGCCAGCAGGAAAAGCCGCCAATGGAGACACGCGTGTTCAGTTTCACGTGGATCAGATCCGTATCCTTGCAGTCCACGAGACGCAACTTGCGATATTTGATGCTTCCAAGATGGAATGTATACGACAGGTATGTATGAGATGATCATCTCTCTACATGCATAAACACACAAAATGGAAATGCAAGATCATATAGACCTGAATTCATTATAACCACTCTGAATTTTGTATTGACTTAAATGTTTTATTGTTTCAATGTCTCAGTGGACTCCACAAGACTCGTTGTCTGCTCCGATATCTTCAGCTATGTACTCATGCAACAGCCAGCTGATCTACACAGCTTTCCGCGATGGTAACATTGGAGTGTTTGACGCAGACACTCTCAGATTAAGATGTCGTATCTCTCCATCCGCCTACTTGCCCCAAGGGTAAACTTATCCAACATTTCATCAGATTCTTAATCCTAAACCAATGTAGTTTTTTTTAAGATTCCGTCTTGAATCTGCTTAATTGTTATGTACTTTCATGAATCAGAATTACAAACTTGTTACTATATTTTGCTTTCACAGGAACCAAGGCTTGTCCCCTCTAGTTGTGGCAGCTCACCCGCAAGAGCCAAACCAGTTTGCGGTCGGTTTGAATGACGGGTCGGTTAAGGTGATAGAACCGACCGAGGCTGAAGGCAAGTGGGGGATGGTTCCACCCTCTGAAGCCATCAACAACACTTCACCTTCTACTACAAGCAACCAAACTCCAGAACAGTTGCAAAGATGAACAAAACCTTAATGGCTTGCTATGTAAAGCTCTCCATATTGATCCTTCAGGTTCGTTAGTTAGTGTTGTTGTTGATTATTGTTTTTAGGCAGTATTAGTAGATCTTCAAATGTAGACCTTAGTTTGGAGATTCTTAAGATATTGAAATTTGTAACTATGGTAAGAAATAAAGTTTGTATAACTATCTGCAAGTCTCAGAGTGAAATTGAATTAGCAACAATACTATGACTAATGAGTAAACCAGCAAGAAATTGAAACTAGACTAACATGAATAGACCAACTGTCATGGCTCGGGTAGGAGGATCCCATCACAATCATACTGCAAAATCCCTGACCGGTTAATTGGTTTGCATCTTTCACCCATTAGTATTCTCTTCTTGCACAGCTCCTCTTCTCCAGTACTCTCGCTCAAGCTTTTTCTTCTTCTTCTTTTTCGTTTTCTCGTCTTCAGTCTTTGCCCTAAGATGAGTATCTTGAGTCGAACTCTCGCGCTTTCCCAAAAGCTCTTCTTCTTCTGAAGTAGGTTTTGCTCGGGTTTAGCTTTACCAACAGACAAAGACTCTCCAGCTTCCGCGGAATCATCTCCCTGGTGATCGCTGTTTTCACCTGCAAGTGGTTTCTTGCGGCTGAAGACACCGGAAATCACAGATGTCATCTTCTTAACCGGAAAAACCATTCTGGTTCTGATGAAATGCCTCTTCCATTTCTCTTCTAATTTCAGCTTCTTCTTGTGATCTGTACTCGGCTTGCTCTTCGTCGTGCTTTTCTTTGATGTTTTAGGTACTTTGGTCTTGATCGTCTCTTGATCCATGGAAAGGCTTAACTTGCACGATGTGGACATAGGCACGATCCTCGCCAAATACTTGCTCGTCTCAGAGATCATTTGATGAATCATATAAAAGAGAGAGTAGTGGAGAGATTTTTATAGGAATCAGAGTGATTTTCGAAACGTGGGTTGTCCACACTTCAACGTGGACCGGGTTAGTTATTTAAACCAATACAAAATAAATAAAATATATCATAAGGTATTTTTATGTGTGGCTTAAGGTTTTAGATTTCATCTCTCCTCCAGTCTCCGCTACGGTGGTCAGGCTATGGTCAAATAGAAAGCATTTCTGTAATACTGAAAATCCATAAAAGAAGATTGTATAATAAATCATTCTTTGTACACTCAGCAACAAATTGAGATTTTTTTTTACCTTTATGGCACAAAAGAGCGGCCATAACAGAGAGACTCTCACAATATACAAGAACAAATCTTTATCTTCTCCTTAGTTTTTTTTTTTAACTCTTTACAAAACTGTTGAAACCATGTTCACTTGCCTAAACTCAGTCTGCGTCTTGGATCTCTAGTTGGTCGCTGCAGCTGCAAATTCGCGGTGGTGTTCGGAGGTCTCTTGCTTGGTGCTGGGATCAGCGACGGGATTAAACTTCTGCCACAAGAAACAAAAAATCCCCTGACTAAATCAGTAAATTTGTAGCAAACACTCATAGATAAGTAAAGATATATTAATTTTTACCTGGTTTCTAAGGGTTTAGCAGTCCTGGGCTGGATTTTCTTAGGTTTGGGGTTCGCTGAGCTCTGCAAATTAGAAACTCTGGGCACATTCACTTGAACCTTTAATCGCCACATCAAATCAGAGTCAGAGCAATCACTTGTTGCGTCTTCAGATTCGTTGTCTGTAATACTCTGCACTTCGAAATCTTGCTTCCCACCAATTCTGTCATTTGAAAGTACAGATCAAAAATAAGAAGATGCACAGAAACAAATATTGGTTAATGCAATGTGAGTTACATACAGTGATCGTAGTTGTGGGTTAAGTGACTCTTCGTGCTTATCGATCCACTCCCCTGACTTAAACTCTGCATCCTCGTCTTTTGCATTAAGCGTTTGCCTCCGCCAAGACGGAGAAGAAGATTGCATCAGCTCATGAAGATCTAAGCTGTGTCTTCTTGAAGATGCTGTATCGCTATAAGCCTGCATATACTTAAACATATAAGACAACAGTTTTTTAGACGCAGCAACTTTGATTGCTCCTGGAAGAAGGCAAAAGCATACCTCTGTTCGTGCTTATCGATCCACTCCCCTGACTTAAACTCTGCATCCTCGTCTTTTGCATTAAGCGTTTGCCTCCGCCAAGACGGAGAAGAAGATTGCATCAGCTCATGAAGATCTAAGCTGTGTCTTCTTGAAGATGCTGTATCGCTATAAGCCTGCATATACTTAAACATATAAGACAACAGTTTTTTAGACGCAGCAACTTTGATTGCTCCTGGAAGAAGGCAAAAGCATACCTCTGGTCCACTTAGATCCATAACCTGGGGCCTAAGGTTGCTTGGAAGTTTGGGTCGAATGGTAGGAGTTTCAAGTGATCTTCTTCTCGATATTCTCTCACGGTTGACTGGTATAGCGCTTGGTTGTACATCATTACCATTTCCTTTCCTCGCTAGAGCCAATTTAAGATTCGCAATCTGACGTAAAACCGACAACATTATCAGATTAGTGATAGGATACTTGTGGCGAGAATGAGTCAAAGTCTGGTCATAGTGTATGGTTCAAGTACCTGTTCTTTAAGCTCCTTGACCTCTGAGTTATCTTTGTTCACACGAGCAGCGCCTAGCTCGACACTCCCCACTCGTTCAGCAAACTTGAGAGTGCTTATAGATTCTCCAAGAGTTTCAGCCTCTGGACTAATGTGGACGAACATAAGCGTCTTGGCTGATCCTCCTGATAACGTACAAATATGCTTTGTATAAGATTAGAGTGCGAGTGTATAATGCAACGAGAGTTGTGAGGGTTTTTGAGAAATTTCACCGAGGGAGTCTTGCAGCAGCTGGGTGAGTTTGCTGTTTCTGTAAGGCACATGAGAAGTCTTCTGGGAAAGCGAAGAGATAACATCCCCAAGAGCTGAGAGGGACTTGTTGATGTGTTGAGCCTCCTTCAGCCTGTCTCCAGTCACCTCAGACTTGTCCACTCTCTCGCTTCCAGCGAGATCAACCAGATGCATAGAACCACGGAGGATAGCCCCAGAGGTGAGGTCTCTGCCTTGAACATGAACAGTGACACAGCTGCAAAAGAAATGGAGAATTGGGGTTAGAACGAGTTATGCAACGAAGTAATCATGACAGATTAGAAAGAGAAACAAACCTGTGAGATCGACTACTTCTGTCATTCATGGCTGTAGAGCTCACCGCACGGTTCGTTTGTCCGAGATCCATCAGCTGTATAACGTCATCGGTTGATGAGACAGGCACTAAACTTGCTTCCGGAACATTAATTCCATTCTGAGAGTTGTTTCTGATTTCTAATGTAATCAAGAGTTAAGGATCAAACAAAATGAAATTATCTCAAGAGTTCTTAAGAAAATGAAAACAATGATAAAACTTTTATTAATCGAAAGGATATCTTTTTGTTTGGCCATCTGTGGCAAGTAGATCTCTGACTTGCTCGTTGTAAATTTCAAGCATCTGAACCGAGATCTCGTAGCTGGTCGTATCTTTTCTTTGATCTGATAGAAGAAACAGATCTTCCAGTGCCCTGTAGTTCACACCTAGGCTTTCTTCAGTCAGTTCCTTAGGCCCTGTCTAGAGTAGTTAGGCAAATTAGAAATTTGGTATTGCATAATGATTCAACAAAAAATCATAGTATATTGGATCAGCAATCGTCTAATCATCTGTGATGATCACAGTCCTTACCATGGTAAACGTTTTACCGGACCCGGTTTGGCCGTAAGCAAAGATGCAGACATTGTAGCCATCAAGAACCGACCGTACCAAAGGCCGCATGTCTGAGAACACCTCCTCTGAAGAGCAAGGGATTCATTCAATAATGTTATTCACAAAACTCAGATAAACATTACAGTGACATAAAAATCAAAGCCTCTATAACCTTGTGTTGCAGAAGGACCAAAGACTTTGTTGAACATAAATGGTTTTCGTCCTTCTTTCCCATACTTTGATGGCAATCTCATCGTTATAGTCCCCTCTTCTATCTGTTCCACAGAACTCAAACCAGTTTCTTGCCCTGGGTTGAACGGCCTAACCCGACAGTACACTCGTATGTTTCCTATACATTACCAAGTGTGAGGTCTTTACGCAGATAAATGGATTAAGAAGAACTATCTTAGTGCTTCAAGATCCTCCAAGTATTACTGAGACAAATCAAATATTTCTGTCAAGTTACCTTTTAGGTCCTGCACTAGGTTGTACAATTTGCGGTTCTCTTCCATAACTCTTTTGTATCCCGTAGCCGCAGAAGCTAAACCATTTAAGTGCTTGCCTGTGTGACAAAACCCAAAACAATGACACATTATAGTTTCACTGATTGTACATTGAGGCATGAACAAGGACATAGAAAGAATATGATCTGAGTTGACACCTAGGTGAAAGAAATCTTCTTGATACTTCATCTGCAGTAATTGCATTCCTGCTTTTGTAGTGTTTAAGGTTTGCTTCAACTCCTGCAGGCAAAATAATACAAAGTTCAAACTCCATTTACCTTGTGATTGCTCCAACGCCATAAATTTGCAACACAATGGAAGTTACCTGGATGTGTTTGTGTTGATTCAAAAGAATCTCCTGTTCTTCGCAGCGTTCAGAATTTGTCCTCTGGATCTTTTCTTCTACGACCTGTGATGGACTGTTTTCTTCTTCTTCCTCATGTTCTCTTATCTCACACTTCTGAGACTGTACTACTGTCTCGCAGGATAAATCATCTTCTGGAATAGGCTTTGAACTCGATTTCATCTGAATAAAAAATCGAAAGCCAGTTTTATGTCATCAATAGGACAGATCATTAAGAAAATGACATCATAACTGACTTGACTCGTCCTCACCATTTCATTGTGGATTGTCAAGCGCTGCTGGACTTCTTCCATAACTTTGTTCAGCACAGACTCTATAACCTAAGCAGATTGAAGTAAGAAAAGAAATCAGATTTCTCAATAAGAATTTGTGAAATTGTGTGAAGTCTTGCTAACAATTCCTGTGGCAACGATTGGAGATAGACATCAGCTTTTTAATATCTCCTAAGAAGCTTAAGCAGATCAATACCAAAAAGAAAGCTTTCATCCAGCAAAGACAACTACAATAATCTGACTCTTACACTTGGAATATCTTCATGCTTTCTGTCTGATATAAACGAGCGAACAAGCGCGTTAATAGATCTAGAATCTCCCTGCAATGTAAGACACAGATACTTTAACAAACAACCACAACGAATAACATAGAAACAAACATTTCAACTATGAAGAAATTTTTCACTTACTTCTTGCCCAACCTCACACAAAGGTTGATCAGTTGACTGGGTTCTTGACATGGAACTCATGAACGGCTCTGGATTTTTCCTCAGAAATGGTTTCCTCGATCCGAAATTATTTTTCATGTTCGAACCATACCTCCAAGGACCAACTTCACCTTTCTGTTTCCACTCGTTGTAAGACTTAAGGGCAAGAATGCAATGCACAATCCTAATAGACTTGCCTCCCTGAAAAGTATATGTTAACAACAAATCAACTATGGAAAAGCTACAGTCTGCATCTTCTTAAAAACTTCAGTTATTCTACCTTCTCCATATCTGAAGCTTCAAATGATGGCAAACCCATTTCCTCTATTGCGACTAAAAAGTTCCTGATGTTTTCGAAATACTGGAAAGCAGAGAGAGCAGCTCCATCTGCTACATCGTCCGGCGCTTCAACAACCTGTAAGGAGATGTTAGTTCTCCATATGGATTGCTATCCATCATCTCCATCTCCATAATTAACGACTCACATAAGGTTGAAATCAACAGATACTTGACACCTTATGTAAAATTAATGAGGATTTAGAGTTTCAGATCTATTTTGGTTTAATGTGAAACACCAAGAACAAACCAAAGAAACTAAAGATGTGCAAGTGTGAAAAAGTTTTACCTTTGACACTTTCCCGGGATTAACTTTGTTAAGAACATTGCAAAGTACGATCCCACTGCGCAATCCAAGCCGAAATTCTTCTTCCGAAGGTTCCGCCGGAAAATCTCTGCCACTGGAAACTCCGATCATTTCTCTAAGCCACCCGGCAGCTTCGTATCTTCTTAAAGCTAAATCGCAAAATATAAGTTTAAATCTCGTCAGATTTTGACAATCAACTACATTGAGACTTGAAATTTCGACGGTGAGCAGAAAAATGGCTACATGATCTTTAAACAAAGGCAAATTTCATCGTTTTGGTAATTCAAAATCATTGTAAACCCGATAAATCAGATAAATCGCATTTCTCCGAGCTATCTTCATATTGCTTCAACATCAATTGCAAAATTCTCGTTCTATGAAAACCAAAATTGAACAATAAAGGATCTGGGAAACACGAAGCGGAAAAATGTATAACAAATCGGATTAACTCACAGGATTCCTCAACTATCCGAGATACCAACCCAACGTCGCTTGATCGGCTACTATGCTGCTGAAGAACATCTTCCACAATCGACACTACGGAAAACGGAAAATCGTTGATCTCCGATGTCGCCATCTACAGAGATTCAGGAAAATTAGCCCAGGCCGAAAAGAAAGGGTTCCTGTAACGCAGCGATGGAAAATTTCGGGAATTGTGAGGTTTGTATGTTTTTAGCTGAGGAAGGAGAATCTATGTGAGGAAGATTCAGAGAAATTTGCGGATTATATAAGGTGAAGAAGCACAACGGAAGGGAAAAAGGGTCTTTTGAAATGAAATTTTCCCTCACTTTCTCGTTCACTTTCTCACCCCTTTTTTCTCTCTCTTCAGATAAAAATGAAAAAATCTAGCGAGAGGGAGAAAGAGGCGCTACACGCTCCGAACCTATCTCCAAACGTACCGGTTCGGTTCAGTTTTTTCTTTCATAAACCGTTGGTATATGTCAAAATAAAATAAAAAATACACATGTCAACCATTCAACAAACGAAATATCGAGTAAAAAATTAGGTGAGTGTTTAGAAAATGAAATTATCAGAAATTAATATAAAACGAAATATTTATAATATTTTTGACCTTATAAATACAGCATTTGTAAAAAAATATTAGTATATATAAATGAAATTATCATAATTATATATTGAGCAATAATTTATCATTTTCTTTAATTTATAACTTCCTAACAAAAAAATAAACAGGTCAGGAAATAAAATATGCTTTCTGCAACATGAATATAATGTCTATACATAATTCAACTGGTGTATTAAATATCATATGTAAAATGTACACGTACAAATTGATGCTACATGCATACATTTAAATAAAGGTAATGCTTGAAAGAAATTAATAATAAAATCTAATCTGATACATTTATAGCTAAAGAGTTAACTTTGTGTATATCACAAACATTAATATCCTTTATCCATAATTAATTATACTTTGGTATATTCTACAAATTAGCTCATTTATAGATATTATAAATTATCTGAGGTGATATATCAGAAGTTTCTTGGTAACTTACAATTTGGATATGCATTGTCAGTACTCACTAAATTTGAACTATGGTAAGGAAAAAAAAAAAGGAGAAAAGATCAGTGAGTCAGTGATATTATTCAAACCGGAGCCTCGGATACGAACCACACAAAAAAAAGGCGCGCGTTTTCGATCGAC